AATAAGTCATTTTCCTGTCCTGTCTGTAATACACAACCGGGTCACTTGCTGATAAACTGTCAATCGTTCAAAGATAAAACACCAACCGAACGGCATCAAACAATCAAGGAATTGAAAAGATGTTTTATCTGTTTCAGTGCGCACATGGCCAGTGAATGTAAAAACCAACGAAACTGTTCTACGTGTGGGGGTAAGCACCATACTCTACTGCATTTGGAAAAAACCGAACCGAACGTTACCACGACCCATTTAACCGTTGCGGCTGCAGAAACAAAAGGTTATCATACGTCCGTTTTATTAGCGACAGCCTCTGTAGTTCTGCAAAACAAAAATGGTCAATCGGTTACAGTAAGAGCACTACTTGACAGCGCAAGTCAAAGTAGCTTTGTCACTGAACGTTGTGTCCAGCTTTTAGGCTTAAAAAGAGAAAAGTGTGATGTAACCGTTCAAGCGTTGTCCGGAGCTGAAGTCCCAGCGGTAAGAGGAAGAGCTAATGTCGAAGTACGACCGGTCGACCAACAAAGTCCCATGTTCAGCATTGACGTTTTAATTCTAACGCGTATTACTGGACCAGTTCCGTCGAAAAGAGTGTGGAATCATTCATGGCCACACATCAAAGGTTTGAAGTTAGCCGATCCATCGTTTGCCGAAGCGTTACCAGTTGATGTCTTGCTCGGCGCTGATGTCTTTCCACAGCTTCTCTTAGGCGACAAGGAAGAAGGTGAGGTAGATGAACCGATAGCGCTATCTACGGTGTTTGGCTGGGTTTTGATGGGTAAAACGACCAACGGTCCAAAACAACAAATTATCACCTTATGTTCGTCTGAATCCGTAAATCATACGTTACAACAATTTTTCGAGATCGAAGAAGTTCCAAAAGTTGAGAAAAATAACCCAGCCGATTTAGAGTGTGAGCAAATTTATCAAACAACCACAACACGACAACAAGATGGACGATACATAGTGCATCTTCCGTTCACACGAAATCCCCCTCTACTTGGGAAATCCAGAGACGTAGCGCTGCATCGCTTACGAAGTTTGGAAAATAAGTTCAAAAAATCACCAGAACTTCATAAAGAGTACAATATGGCAATGTATGACTACTTAGAAACAGGTCACATGTCCGCTGTAGTGAAAAAATCCGACGGTGAAGAAAATATGTATTATATCCCACACCAAGCTGTATTACGTCCGGAAAGTACTACTACTAAATTGCGGGTCGTGTTTGATGCGTCCGCAAAAACTTCTTCGGGTCACTCATTGAACGACAATCTTTATTGCGGTCAAAGATTACAGCAGGACTTACCGGGAATTGTTTTACGTTTCCGACTTCATTCTGTTGTTTTTACCGCTGACGTAAAACAAATGTTCAGACAAATTGTTGTGACCGAAGCTCACCGACCGTACCAACGCTTGCTTTACCGGTTCTCTTTGGATGAACCAGTTCAAGAATATCAAATGAACACGGTAACTTTTGGACAAAAGTCATCTCCATTTCTCGCCATCCGCACTCTGCATCAGTTGGCAACTGATGAAGCAGTAAATGAACCACTTGTACAAACAGTTGTTAAACGTGATTTGTATGTAGATGACATAGCAACCGGAGCCGAAAGCGAAGAAGCTGCAATAGATCTGCAGAAAAAACTCGAAAACACGTTTGCAAAAGGTCACTTTGAGTTACGCAAATGGTCAAGTAATTCCGACAAATTACTGAGTAACATTCCACTCGATCACCAACAAACACTACCAGTGACGTTTGAAGAACATGAGTTGACATATACCAAAGTCTTGGGACTAAATTGGGATCCGAAGGTTGATTCACTAAGCTACAAATATCAACCCAATCCGGTTAAATACAGCAAGCGAGCTATTTTATCCGAGATCGCTAGAATCTATGACCCTCTAGGTCTATTGGCACCAGTAACCACGGTTCTAAAACGTTTGATAAAATATCTATGGGTCTTGAAAGTTGACTGGGATGACATTATACCCGAAGATGCTAAATATGCGTGGCAGCAATATCATCAAGAGTTACCAATCCTGGCAACCTTGCGTGTACCCCGATTAGTAACCAGTCCAAACGCACTCTATGAACTACACGGTTTCAGCGATAGTTCGGAAGCCGCGTACGCAGCAGTAGTGTATTTGCGGGTATGTACAAGTGATAGAATAGGTTGTCATCTCTTAATGGGTAAGGCAAAAATTTCTCCAACCACAAAAATGTCCATCCCGCGGTTAGAGCTGTGCGGTGCGTGGTTATTAGCACACCTTTTGGATTACGTCTCCAAAAACCTAAAATCTTTATCCATTGGCACCGTAACCGCCTGGACCGATTCCACTGTTGCGCTGGCATGGATTAAATCCCCTACTATTAGGTTAAAAACGTTTGTTGCCAACCGAGTCGCCCAGATTCAGCTGTTGACTAAAGGGTACACGTGGCGTCACGTTCCAACCGAGGAGAACCCTGCTGATTGCGCTTCACGGGGTCTAAGTCCTCAACAACTTACTAACCATGACTTATGGTGGAAAGGTCCTACATTTTTGTGTCAACCTAAAAATACTTGGCCAGCTCAAAACGCTGACAGTCCAGACAGCCGTTTGGAAGAAGAGGCGGAAGAGAAGCCAATCACGCTTATATCTCAGGTAAAAGAAGAAGAGAGCCGCCTTTTATATCAATCTGATAATCTGCAAAAAATTTTGAGACTTACGGCTTACTGGTTGCGTGTTGGAGATCATTTATTGGGAAAACCTTCGGCTTGTATTTTCCCTCCGACAGTGGCCGAAACCGAGAGATCTTTACGATCGTTAATACGATGGACGCAGCGAGTATTTTTTGCAGACATCAAAAAAGCTATTGCTACAGACAAACAAGTACCTGCATCCGTACGTAAGTTATCACCTTTCTTAGATGAGAAATCGTTAATCAGAGTAGGTGGTCGCTTGAAAAACTCACCAATTCCTTACGACGAAAAGTACCCCATCTTGCTACCGAAAAATTCTAAATTGACTGAATTGCTGATAGATTTTGTGCATCGTACTAAGAGTCATCCGGGAGCTCAAACTACACACAACATTTTACGCCAAAACTACTGGATTCTTTCGGCTCGTAGCATCATCAGGAAGCGAATACACCAATGTATCCCATGTTTTCGAGTAAAACCACGACCAAACCCGCCCTTGATGGGAAATCTTCCAGTGTTTCGAGTTACCCAGGTCAAACCGTTCAGTCGCGCTGGTGTAGATTTTGCCGGTCCTTTTCAAGTGAAGGCCGCAATGTTACGGAAAATTAAAGTTACCAAAGCTTACCTTTGCATCTTTGTTTGCATGGTTACCACAGCAGTTCATATCGAGCTCGTGTCAGACATGTCCACGCCTCTTTTTATTGCCGCCCTAAACCGGTTTATTAGCAGACGGGGTCGTTGCACAGATATTTACAGTGACTGTGGCACGAATTTTGTGGGCAGTCAGCGATACCTAAAGGAGGTAGATACCATAATTAGAGAATCAAAATTCGTTCATCACGTCATCAGTACGCAGATTCACTGGCATTTTAACCCGCCCGCAGCACCACACATGGGAGGTCTGTGGGAGGCAGCCGTCAAGTCTGCTAAGACATTACTTCACCGTGTGGTTCAAGATAGGATTCTAACCTACGAAGAGCTCAATACCGTTCTACACCAGGTAGAAGCCGTTCTTAACTCGAGGCCTTTATGTACCATGTCATCCGACCCTAACGACTTCACGACCTTAACCGCAGGACATTTTCTTACTATGGAGCCTCTAGTCGCTGTTCCATCTCCTCAGGATGAAATTAGTCAAACCCATATCAGTACCCACAAGCGTTGGTCTTTAATACAGCAGATACATCAACATTTCTGGTCTCGGTGGAAACATGAGTATTTACACAAACTGCAGGAGAAAACCAAATGGAATCGTCAAGTTTCAAATCTAAAAATTGGCGATTTAGTCATTCTCCAAGAACCGACCCCTCCACTCACATGGAGTACAGCTCGAGTGGTTGATACGGTTTCTGGAACTGATGGAGTCGTCCGAGTTGCACAAATACGCACCTCCGCGGGCAAGATCCTCCGCCGCCCGGCGGTGAAGCTTTGTCCGCTACCGTCAAACGTTTGAAGACCTACGGTTCTTCAAGGTGGGCGGTATGTTCAAGCGTTATCAAGCCGGGCACCGTCCCACCACCACCGACTGCACCGACCACCACCGCACCATATCACTTACTATCCGTTTTTTGTTGTTGTTTTACCGCATCGTACCGACCGCACCGTTAACCGCACGCGTAAAAGAAACTTTACACCGTTTTTCGTTATTTGTTGTTGTTTTTTAATTATTAATTACATATCAACCGCCTGCTGTGATGAGCTCGTGTACTTGTGCGACGTTCGAAGAATTAGTCTTGTTCTCGTAAAGTAATCAACAGTTTGCGGGCTTTCACCACCGTTCAGACGACCGTACCGTCTTGCAATACCACCACTACCGACCGTCACCGTTCTCGTATTTTCAAGTTGTAAATATTTGCTTATTGTATAGTTTTAGTTTTAAGTCCTTAGTAATTGTTGTTGTAGTGCGCTGGCCAGCCGGTAAGACATTTGTATACTTAACTTTGGTTTAATAGTAGTCTGCATGCTTTAATTATCATTTGTTTTTTTTTGTATATATATTTGAAACCAATACAGTCCACAACATTACCGAACAATAAAATTAAATAGAAGTATATTTTTTTCAGAAAATATATTAATAAGGACATAGTGTAAGCTACGATCGCTCAAAAAATACCTAAAATTATTTCTAATGGAAATTTTATTTTTCAAGCTGTTAGTATAGAGTTGGTAATAGTTAATGCCAAAATCAAATATTTCATCATCAGGGATCGTGTTAATAATAATATTATTAATACAATTTGATTAGAAAATATCACTTTAAATGACGTGAATTTTTCAAAAAATTACTTGAAGTACACATCACATCTGTACGGGTTTTCACCAGTGTGTACTTGATCATGATATACAAAAGTCGACTTTTGAGCAAACCGCACATTTGTAATGCTTCTCGCCAGAGTGTACACGTTCTTGTGATGTGAGGTTGGCTTTGGTTAAAAATGATTTCAAACATCAATTTTTTTTATTTCTTTCGTTACTTGTTCTACTGACCCTACAACAAAACATACCCGAACAATAAATAAAAATGTTTAAACAAATTATACCCTTCTCAGTTTTCAAATTTTACAAATGCTTATAATTTTTTTAGATAAGAAAGAGGCGGCTCTAATGGGCCGACCATGCGTGGCGAAAGGAAAGCTCCCTCATACACTTGATACTATGTGATTCTCTGGAAGGTGTGGGACCACTCGGTAGACCAAGGTTGAGGTGGGAAGACCGGGGTTTCAAAAGCTGTGGAGCGGGTTCAACCGGATAGAGATTGGAAAATCCTAGCAATGGAAAGGGAAAGATGGCGTGGCATATGTTTGACAGTACGGTCTTGAAGCCCGTTAACTACGAAGAAGAATTAATTATAACCAGTAAAAAACAATCCAAATTATTAAAAAAATATAATACTACTTTAGCTGATTTAACTAAATAATACAACCATAATCATAATTGTTTTCCTACCATCATACTACTTCCTATATAAAATACTATTTTCCTCCTCCATAAAATATAAATTTGTTTGAATTTCTTTAAATGAAAATATATATATTTTTTTTTAGTCATATTATATTTTTAAGAAAAAAAAGGTACCTTTTAATATAAAAACAATGACTACTTAATAATCTGTACGCTCTGTGCGGGGCGGGCGGGTGCTAGTAATAGTGCTTACAGTGAAAATAATACTAATAGAGTAGCTGTGTATTGTTGTTCAAAACTAAAATTTATCTCGGTTCATTATCATTTAGTACGTTTATACAATGGCGTTAAAATGGTTTGAAATTAAAACACACTCATGTCATTTTAATGAAAAAACAACTTGCATATTTGGGTTAAAGCGACACGGCTTATACTATTGGTTAGAAAAATATATTATATTTCATTTATATTATAATATAATTATATGATTAAAAAATTCCCAATTCTTACTAAAAAAAAAAGTTATTGGGAACTTAAAAAAAAAAAAAATAGTAAAATCACAAAAAGAACGTTTAGTGGTCATCCTGAAAACTATGAAACATGTTGCTTAGACTCTTTTGCCGTGTCACCATTGATATATTATTCACACTAAATGTAAATAGAACTCACAATGAACAAAAAAAACCACAGTCGACACTTTTAAAATTTAACCAGACTACTAAATGAAATAGTTCGCAAAATAATGCCTGTCCTAATTTAAATTAAGTTATTGTTTTTTTTTTTTTGCAACAAAATGTATTTAACTTTAAAAATACATTACTTATATGCATACCCGTCAATTGTTTTTTGATAATCGTTATAGTTTGTCCGAGAACTGTTGAGTTTTTTTTCAATGTGATTCAGCTTTGATTTTTTCACTAAGACTTTGTTGAAATACTGTTTTACGTCCTCGACTTCTTGTATTTTGATCATGGTCCCGTTATAATCATCCATTTTAGTAGTGATTTTTGGTATTTCTGATTCTCACTAGTTAACTCTAAAAAACAAAGCGTATCTTAAAAATTAGGACAAGAAATAAGATTTTTTTTTATAAAAAATGATTATAGCCTGGTCTAAACAAATTTAAATAAAACACGAGTGCAGGCACACTTTTCTGGAAAATAGAGCCAAATAAGAGGCCTAGAGGTTTTTCAAGAAAATCAAAACATTGATTCAATGATTGACATTTTAGTCGGTTATTACTAAACCGACTTTTTATTAGTAAGATCTTACTGATCTTACTAATAAAAAATAATCCACTCTTAAAAAATTTAATACCACACAACATGAATTTTTTTTCTCCATAAAATATAAATTAGTTACCACTTTCTCTAAATATACTAAACAAATATTTTGTCTTTTACGGCAGATTATAATAATTAGGAAAAAATATAATTAATAGCATACAAAATAATGAATATCTATTTAATAATAGTAATAAATTAAAAATAATGCTTCAATAGATATCAACAACTTAAACCATTACTACTATTATTGATGATAAATATTTTAGATAGCCAACCGATAGACAAATTTTAGTTTTATACACTAATACGGGACATGCGCTAGTAGTATCTTTGTTTAGAAAATATTACTTATAGCTCGTATCGTATTGTGGTTCAGAACTTAAATATGAAATTTATTTAACAATTACATTCGAGTCAAGTAAACACTTTAAATCAGTTTTTAAACATTAAACGGTCAATCCAAACCGTTGATCATATCCAGTTATTATTAAGTAATGCTATGAGAAACTATAAAACAGTACATTCCATTTCAATAATATATTATTCACACTAAATGTAAATAGATCTCACAATTAACAAAAAAAAACACAGTCAAAACCTTCACATAACTTCTTATCAATTATCGTCCGTCCCTACGACCACCGATGGCAATTCTGACTATGATTTTTTTAAGGATGTATGAAAACTGTTTAAATTATTTAAAAAATCAATGCCTAACACGGAACTACAGAATCGAATTAATTGTTATAAATTAATAAATAGAACCATAATGTTACTCGGTACTTACTATTATACAATGGGAATGTTTGTCAAGGCTGTGATCCCCAAAACGCCAAACAACCGGTATAAAATCCATCAACGAATCTAATTTTTCATACGTTTATAAAATATATAAATACATACATTTCCAACAAATCGGCCGCTTTGAGTAAATTAAAAACATAAAAAATATATTGTTACCTACTTGACAATATGGTTGTGGAGATAGCACCGCGAAAACTAGCCACCAGTGATAACAGTGGTAGCTGGAGGTAGAATGCAGTGGGATAGCATCACTTTTCCCAAATTGAATGCGTTACTACCATGGATCATTTCATCCATTGTACACTTTTTTCCATTGGCAATTTTCCTATCAGGTCTTTTAAACTTACTTTAAACCTGTAACCTCCTCACCACCACCGTACTCTTGACCCTTTCATTATTATTATTATTATTATCCATGACATATTGTTCTAATGAAATATTTTTAACAGTTGAATATAACCAACATTACAGACTAGACTAAATGGATTTTATGATGAAGACTATTTTTGCCATCATGGCATTCAGAGCATTTCACAAATTTTTGGGGTAACTTACCCCCAAAAAACTTCAAAAGTCTATGCTTTAGGAAAAAAATAAGCTAAAAAAGTTTGACACTGTAATAATAAAATTAATAAAAGTAGTTATCAAATAATTGTATAAATATATATTTTAAACAAATAGGTCACATTAGTCATTGGATAAAATTATTAATAAGTAGTTAAATCACGTTTCATTAAACGTTGATAGATATAAGTAATGCACATATACATATTTTTAAGTTAGTACTAGAAAATACAAAATATATTACCGTATAATTTTAAGTTAACTTAAGTATACATATTTTTGGGGGTAATTAATCAGTGTGTACGCGTTTGTTGTGTTTTGTGAGGCTTGATTTTGTAGTAAACGAATTAAAACACACAGCACATTTATAGAGATTTTCACCAGTGTGTAAGCGTTCGTGATTTACGAGGTGGTCTTTTCGAAAAAATGCTATTGGGCAAACAGTACACTTATAGGGTTTTTCACCAGTATGCACATGTTTGTGTTTTGTGAGGTTTGTGTTTAGGGAAAACGATTTGAAGCAGACCGCACATTTGTAGGGCCTTTCTCCGGTATGCACTCGTTTGTGTTTCGTAAGATTGGATTTTTCAGAAAATGACTTTAAACACACCAAACATTTGTTGAGCTTTTCTCCAGTGTGCACGCTTTCATGTATGGTGAGTTTTCGTTTTGCAGCAAATGACTTTAAACATACAGTACAACTATAGGGTTTTTCGCCAGTGTGTACACGTTCATGTATTGTAAGGCAGTTTTTATGTGAAAATGACTTTAAACATACAGCACAACTGTAGGGTTTTTCACCAGTGTGTACTCGTTCATGTATTTTGAGGCAGCCTTTACGTGAAAACGATTTTAAGCAAATAGCACACTTATAAGGTTTATCTCCAGTGTGCACGCGTCCGTGGTTTTTGAGAGTGCTTTTAGCAGAGAATGACTTTAAACACACCAAACATTTGTAGGGTTTTTCTGCAGCGTGCACGCGTTCGTGATTCTTGCGATTCGATTTTTGAGAAAATGAACTTTTGTGGGATTTTATTAAATGTAATGTTATTTGTTTTTTAGTGTGGTACGACGTTTGACAAAAATTGCAGTAGAATATTCGTCGTGCTTTCATATCATTATTGTCATTCTTTGGTGCTATTTGATTATGGCAGTCTTTTTCTACCAAAGACCCGACGTGACAACTATCAATTTGTTTATTCTTTTCATAACTCGTGTCAGTGGACCTACAATAAAACATACAAAAATAAATATTTATGTTTAACAAAATTATACACTTCTCACGTTTGCACATATTATGTTATTACTTTTTTTTACTTACACCTATGCAATTTGTGTTTGATAAGTCTGTTAATTAGTTTTTTAATTTATTTTATTCTATTGGAATTAAATTTATTTACGACTTTAATTATTAATGTATAAAAATATTGATAATTATGCTGTTTTTCGGCATTCCGCATGAAAGGCAGCTATTTTTTAACATAGTATCTCTCTCTTTTATTATAAATTCTATTTTGAAGGAAAACAATTTATGAGTTTTTCAAAAATATAGTTAGAAAACATCTAAAGTTTTTACGGACGAATTTCTATTCAAGACAAACTAAACAATTAGTATGTGAATGTGAATATCCCACAGTTTTTACTTGCCAATATCTATAATTTTTTTCTTTATTGAAAGTTGAATGAAAACTTAAACTGCTAATTTAAAAGTTTAATAAATTGTTATATCGTGAATTATACAGTGACTATTTAAATAATAAGAGATGTAATGAATAAGAAGAATATTTTTACTACTTACACGAGACTTTTTTTGATGACTCGTGTTCTAGTGTTTTTCTGGGTTGGTGCATGTGCATTATGTAATCGAGTTATGTGCTGAGCCAATCTCCATTTGGTGTTAAAAGACTTCTTACATAAATTACACGCAAATTGTTGTACTTCATCCAATTCGTCTTTAGTAGATTGCACATTCAAAAGACCATTATGTTCCACTTGAATCACGGACTCGAAGTAATGTCCATTCACTATATCGGCTTCTAATTTAACTATCGTTGTATTGCCCTCTTTTCTATAACTGAAAATAAAATTATTTATTTCAAGTGTGAAAAATGAAATAGACAATATTGCTAAGAAGCGAGTATTAAAGAAAAGTATACTACGCGCTATCAGTAAAACAATTCTTCGTTTGTAGTGACTGTGTGATCTTTAACGTTTACTTTGTATTTAGGTATGCAGTTATAACATGTAATTAGAAAAACAAATTACTTGTATATATTTCCGTCAAATGTTTTTTGAAGATCTTTCTGTGCTGTCACATAACTATTATATGATTTTTCAGCATTAGCTAATTTTGTTTCTTCTATAGAGGTTTCAGTTAATTCCTGTTTCATCTCTTCGTCGTCTTTATCAATTTTGTTCTCTATGCCATAATAATAACCGTCTGTTTTGTCTTCAACTTTGATTTTCGAATCAACAACGCTGAAAAATAAAATATAATTTAAAAAAGTATATTAATTAAAAAGAATCAGAAAATCTGTAAAATTAAGTTATAATAAGAACTAAAAAAAAAAAACATAATAAAAAAGTGAGTTTATAGTTAATGTTATTGTCTTTAGTTGAATGTAATTAAAATATTAAATTTTTTAAAAATTATATTGGTTAATAAGGAAATGTACATCAAATAAATGTATAAGTAACCTCAATACTTGTATTTAAAATATATTATTATAAAAATTATATTACTTGTATCCATTCGCGTCGATTGTATTTTGTTGCTCTTTTTCTTCTTTCACTTCAAAAATAGACTTATAATAATAATCGTCCGTTTCTCTCACTTCAATTTTAATTCCTCCTGCTTCATTAAGTCTAAAAAATAGAGTAAATTGTTTTACTTAGTATCGATTCTTCTATGTTTACATTGTCGAAATAATTATTAATATTTTATAATATTCTAGGAAGTATGTCGCTATATAAATATGTTGTTTATCTTTATAATAAAAATACTGTTCAGGCACAATCAGCTGATTGATGGTAGTGTGGTGGGGGGTAGGTTCGCGACCAGTGACCGCCCAATGGTCAAGCAAAATAGGCGCGTTTCCGGCGAAAATATTAATATTATAAGTGATTCTTTTCGTAATTGTGTTAATGAACAATAAATTGGTTATTTTAATTAGATAAGAATTATGTGTTATTATTATTAAAAAATATTAAAAAGTGTAACCAAAGAGTTTTCCGATTTATACAGTCCACTTGTAACACGCTAGTCGATTGCGTGGCGCAAACATATTGGTCCATCGACCCGAATTACAAGGTACAAGGATAGTAGTGGGGTAAGTGAGTCTTCAGAATATTAGAATTCCTATAAAAAATACTATACTACTTCCTGTATACTAATTTTGTTCCTTATTCCTGTGATACCTATTTGCCTATTGCGCGTGCGGTAATAATATCTTAGTGGGGATCTCCCAGCTACTTTGCGGTGATCGAGCTTCAAAGCAAGAGGTATCAGCAATGGATGAGAAGATAGCAAACGAATTGGCGGTATATGTTATCAGACGGGGTCAGTTAAAGGCTCAACTGATGAAATTTAATGTGTTTATAAATGACCCGAATAGAAATACCAACCTAACGCAGGTGAAGTTGCGAATGGGAAAAATAAATGCGATATGGGACGAGTTTGATAACGTCCAAAACAACATCTAAGCAAGAGATAGTAGTACTGAAAACTTACAATATCGAGATACGTTTGTGGATTTGTTTTTCGACTTAATGGCAAAGGCAGAAGACAAATTAAAAGAGGCACAAACAAATTATATCCCACAAATACCTCAACAAAATAGTGGTACAAATCAAAATGACAATTTCTCGTTGGTAAAATTAAACCTTTGGAAATCCCATGTTTCACAAGTTTGTTCTGCAAGTATGCAGAATGGTCTGCATTCCATGATATGTATTATGCTATGATTCACTCAAATACTTCAATTACAAAAGTTCAAAAATTGTATTACTTGAGGAATTCGTTAGGCGGAGATGCAGGTGAATTAATACAAAACTTGGAAACTACAGCAGACAACTATGAGGCAGCGTGGTCAATAATAAAAGAAAGATATAATAATAAGCGTATGTTAATTCAAGCAGATACAAAGCATATTTTTGATTTGGAACAAATCAATAAGGAGTCAGCCACAAAATTAAGAAAATTAACAAATTCATTGAACTTGCATGTACAGGCGCTTCAAGCTTTAGGGCACAATCCCAAAGATTGGGGTGCACTTTTATTGCACGTAGTTTGTATTAAGTTGGATTTAAACACTACACGGCATTGGGAAGAAGAAATTGATAGGGATAAATTACCTACAATCGAGGCATTACTTGGTTTTTTGGAGAAAAGATGTCAGGTTTTGGAGGCAATCGAAACCGCTAGGAATTTATCGGGACGGCAGAGTGAAGATTCCGTTGTAAACAGCAAAAATAAATTTATGGCAAAAAAGAAAACATCTTTCACCTTTCTTTCAAGTTCGCGAATGAAATGCTATATGTGTCATCAAGCCCATCCGATTTATAAATGTCTAGATTTTTTGGCTTTAAGTGTAGATGCTCGCAAAGGAAAGGTCGTGGAGTTAAAACTGTGTTACAATTGTTTAAAAAACGACCATTATTTATTGCAATGTACGGCGAGAAAATGCATAAAATGTCAAGATAATCATAATTCCCTCTTACATAAAATTAAAAAAAACGAGACTTCAGATACAAACGCATCTATAAGCGCACATGCGACTGGCGTGGATAACAATCAAGTACTGTTGGCTACAGCAATAATAAAAATATTCAACGCCGCAGGTACGCATATGCATGGGCGAGCATTTTTAGATAGCGGCTCGCAAAGTAATTTTATAAAAACAAATTTAGTAAACAAACTGGGCCTTCAGCGAATGAAAATAAATATACCTGTGAGTGGTATCAGTAATAGTAAAAGCACAATACAATATAAAGTCACCGCATCCATACAATCGCTAAATAGCCCATATACAACAACAATGGATTTCTTAGTGTTGCCAAAGATAACTGGTTTACTACCTAACACACCGGTAAATAATGTAAACATACCAAGAAATATCAAAGTAGCCGACCCATCGTTCAATAATCCAGGAACAATAGACATTTTAATTGGTGCCGGTACCTATTGGGATATTAGGTGTGCTGATAAGTTCAAACCTCATCAAAATGACCCATATTTGCAAAAAACATCGCTTGGTTGGATCGTTGTTGGTGAAACATCAAGTATGCGCGACAGTGATTTGAATATGTGTTTTTAGCTATTCAAGATAACTCGCTAGAGGACAAAATTGAGGAATTTTGGAAAATGGAAGAGTTAGTGCCCAAAAAATATTTAACCGAGGAAGAAAGAGCGTGTGTAAAGCATTTTGAAACGCATTTGACGCAAAATAGTGCTGGTAGATTTGTTGTCAAATTGCCGTTTAAAGATAATTACCGTCAGCTGGGTTATTCGTTTACACCGGCTTTGCATAGGTTCTTATCATTAGAGAGGCGGCTAACACAAAATAACACCTTTACGACAAATATAAACTGTTTATGTTGGAATACGAACAGCTCGGGCACATGGAATGTATTGGTGGCATGGCACAGGTAGATAAGAGTCTAATCGACCGTAATGATTATTTTTATTTACCTCATTCATGTGTTATAAACAATAACAGTAGAACAACAAAATTAAGAGTTGTGTTTGACGGCTCAGCGAAAACAAATACTGGTTTATCTTTGAACGACGTATTAAGAATGGCCTTAAAATTCAACCGGACTTGTTGGATATAGCTGTGCATTTTAGAAAACATAAATATGCGTTTTCAGCAGATATTACAAAAATGTATCGGCAAATATTATTGCACGAGGAAGATCGCAATTACCAACGAATATTATGGAGATCAAATCCAAATGAAGAAATTAAAATTTATAGGTTGTGTACGGTGACGTATGGATTAGTATCTGCCGGATTCTTAGCGTTAAGTTGCATCGATCAAATCGCTCAGAACGTTCAAAACGCGGCTGTGCGTGAAGTTATTCAAAATGATTTTTGTGTGGATGATTGTCTAACGGGCGCGAGTACATTAAACGACGCTATAAAACTGCGCGGTGAATTAATTAATGTCTTACACCAACATGGTCTTGAGTTGTGTAAATGGACGGCAAATCACATACACTTGTTGCCTGTTCCAAACGAACGCGCGGTGGCAGCTTTGTCGTTAAATAAAGAAAGCATAAAAACATTAGGTTTATATTGGGAGCTAATAGATGATTATTATACTTATAAATACGTATCAGATACTGTTGGCACTCCAGTAAATAAAAAGCGCGTTCTTGCCAGCATAGCAACTTTATTTGATCCACTTGGGCTCATAGAGCCTATAATAATAATCACCAAAATATTCATGCAATCGTTATGGCGGGACAAAGTAAATTGGCACGATTCATTACCAAAATGCAGGCAGGACGAATGGGCGGCGTACAACAAATGTTTGAATGATCTGAACCTACTAAAAATACCACGGTGGTTGGGCTGCGACAATAGGAAACAAATCGAGATACATGGCTTTGCGGATGCGTCATGTAAAGCTTATGGCGCATGCCTTTATATGCGAACAATCGAAACTGAAACAGGTAAAATAGAATCAAGATTGATTTGCGCCAAATCGCGTGTAGCGCCATTAAAATCGGTGTCAATTCCGAGATTGGAATTATGTGCGGCCTTATTATTAGCGCGTTTGGCTGACGTTATCATTCCTGCTCTTCGGGTTAAAGTTAAGCGACGGTATTTGTGGACAGATTCCACTGTCGCACTGGCATGGATATCATCCGAGTCTAGCAAATGGAAAACCTTTGTAGCTAATCGAGTGGGAGAAATACACGACCTAACTTTACAATCTGGATGGGGGCATGTGTTATCTTATTTAAATCCCGCGGACGTATTACCAAGAGGTTGTCTCCCAGGAGAACTTAAAAATAATACTCAATGGTGGTATGGACCATCTTGGTTATTGGAAGAAAAATCAAGCTGGGCTACACAGGTTAGTAATAACATCGAAAATGGAAGCGACGTGGAAGCAGAAGAGAAAAAAGGTTTTATTAATATGTTAGTCATTAATGATCCATTATCAATTATCGACAAATATTCATCATTAGATAAACTTTTTCGCGTTGTGTCTTATATATTTCAATTCAAAAATAATTGTTTATCTCGGTCTAAGAACATAAAAAAAGAATGTGGTCCAATACAACTAAAGGAAATACATTTTGCAACCAAAGTGATAATATCATTTTTACAACATTTGTATTTTTACACCGATATAAATAATTTAAAAAATACTCGCACCTTATCGAAAAAAGTAAAATATTAAATTTAAATCCATTTATTGATGAAGAAGGTCTGGTGCGCGTAGGTGGTCGACTGGAAACGCTACATATTTAAATTACGATCAAAAACATCCCATTATAATACCTAAAGAGAGTAAATTTTCGGAGTTATTAGTACGGGACGAACATGTTAAATTACTGCATGCCGGGCCACAGGCGGTACTGGCAACGATAAGATTGCGTTATTGGCTGATAGGCGGACGACAAATAACAAAAAAATTATTCGTCAGTGCATTACCTGTTTTAAAGCGCAACCACGGTCTGCTGCACCTAGCATGGGTAATTTACCGAAATCTAGAGTAGATAAACCAACTCGATGTTTTACGATCACGGGAGTAGATTACGGCGGACCTTATTTATTGAAATGCAGTCAGCGACGTAATTGTTTTGCCACAAAAGCAATTCATTTGGAGCTTGTTTGTGATTTAAGCACAGATGCCTTTATTGCCGCGCTTACACGATTTTGTTCAAGAAGGGGTAATTGTTCAAGTATTCATTCAGATAATGCTACGTGCTTTGTGGGTGCAAAAAATAAATTAGAAGAATTTCGGCTTCTTATTACTTCTGAAGATCATCAAAATCGTGTCAACCAGTTTATGAACAAGCGTGGGATTGAATGGCACTTAATCCCCCCTAGAGCTCCTCATTTTGGCGGACTATGGGAGGCTGCGGTTCGCAGCGTAAAAAAACATGTATACCGTTGTGTGTCAAATGTTAAATTAACGTACGATGAATTTTACACACTACTAGTGCAAATAGAGGCGTGTCTTAACTCCCGTCCTCTAATTCCTTTATCTTCAGATCCTCCAGACTTAACTGTTCTTACTCCTGCGCACTTTCTAATTGGGGACTCACTCATTGCATTACCCGAGCCCTACGTATCAACCATTTCCGAAAACCTGTTATCCCGTTGGCAAAAAGTTCAGCAAATGGCCCAACAAATATGGAAGCGTTGGAGTATCGAGTACATTACTCAGCTCCAAGGGAGATACAAATGGGTGAATTCAGGGGATCATCAAATACAAATTGGGTCAATGGTTCTTATCAAAGACTCCAACTTACCTCCACTCCAATGGTGCTTGGGCAGAATTGTTGAGGTCTTTCCAGGAGTTGACGGAGAGACACGAGTAGTCACGGTCCGAACAACGAAAGGAATAAAAAAAAGGGCTTTACGATATCTATGTCAGCTACCCATTGTAAAATAAAAAAAAAATAATAAAATCTGTTTATTATTTATTATTAATTTGTTAATTTGGTGCTACTTTTGAATTTATATTACCGTTGTTTTAAATTTACATGTAACCTCAATACTTGTATTTAAAATATATTATTATAAAAATTATATTACTTGTATCCATTCGCGTCGATTGTATTTTGTTGCTCTTTTTCTTCTTTCACTTCAAAAATAGACTTATAATAATAATCGTCCGTTTCTCTCACTTCAATTTTAATTCCTCCTGCTTCATTAAGTCTAAAAAATAGAGTAAATTGTTTTACTTAGTATCGATTCTTCTATGTTTACATTGTCGAAATAATTATTAATATTTTATAATATTCTAGGAAGTATGTCGCTATATAAATATGTTGTTTATCTTTATAATAAAAATACTGTTCAGGCACAATCAGCTGATTGATGGTAGTGTGGTGGGGGGTCGGTTCGCGACCAGTGACCGCCCGATGGTCAAGCAAAATAGGCGCGTAAATATTAATATTATAAGTGATTCTTTTAGTAATTGTGTTAATGAACAATAAATTGGTTATTTTAATTAGATAAGAATTATGTGTTATTATTATTAAAAAATATTAAAAAGTGTAACCAAAGAGTTTTCCGATTTATACAGTCCACTTTTAACACGCTAGTCGATTGCGTGGCGCAAACAAATACTTAGTTAGTAAACAGGAAAATGTTATTAGAAATCGAAAATTTTTTTTTAAACACCTGTTTTTGTCAGACTTGTGGTTTTAGGTTGTTTGTAAGAGCTCAGGGCATATTCTATCTGTAACTTTTTTTATGTGTATAACGGGTGTATTATTGTTACACTGTTTTATTATATTCTATGTAATAATATTATCTATCATTGTAATTACTATATGTGTTTGACAATAGTAGCACAGATTAGATAAAACTATCTGTCTTATCTTATTTGTGATAGTAGTGTGTTTAATTGTTTAATTTATTCGTGTTGTGTTTTTATTTAAATACTATATCCACTGGCGTTCACTCAATATTATATGCTAAACATATTAGCGTAAAATATTTCATCATCCATTTAATGTGTAAATAACTATCGACTTAGGTTATTGTTTTTTTGAAACGAAATGTGTAAAATATTTTAATTCAAAATTGTTATTAATTAAATGCATTGTTGTCAATTGTTTTTTCAGGATCATTGTGGGTTGTCTGAAAACTGTTTGAATACCTCAGATAAATTATTTTATTAAAACTCAATATAATATCAAACATATTTAGCCGTCATATTTTGACGGCTCTCAAATTTTTAGTTTCCACTACGATATACGTAAATCTATGACCTCAACGTCTGCCTTAACCTACTCACGCAACGCCCCTGAATGACGCGACACACAGTTTGAATATTCCAATTTATTATTTAGTTAAACTTCAATAAAATATAAAATGTAAAACTATCAGCTTAATATGTTCTAAAAGAGTTGGTGGTTATTTTTTAAAAATAAATTGGTTATATCTTTTTATATAAATTCACACTGAGTGTCAACTAATAATTTTATTTAGATATGACTTATTCATCTAACGGGGTATATTGTTTTTTAGTAACAATATGTTACATTACCTATATGCATCTCCGTCAATTGTTTTTTGGTAATCGTTTTGGTTTGTCGGAGATTTTTCAATGTGATTTGGCTCATTTTTTTCCAATATGGCTTCAGAAAACTGCTCTTTCTCGTCCTCATTTTCTTCTAGTTTGATAATGGTTCCGTGGTTATAATCGTCCATTTTAACTCTGGGTTTTGGTTAATTTCTCACTAGTGCTCTAAAATCAGAGCGTAATTACAAAAATTAATACAAGAACTCCTGTTTTTTTTTAAATTAAAAATGATAATGGCCTGAGTCTAAAGCATTTACTCAACATTTTGCTAAACAGTGAGTGAAGACAGACTTTTTTGCAAAATAAAGCACAAACATTGTTCACAAGGAAGTCAAACCCTTAGAAGCTGTCGTACACTTGACCCGAATAGATGACAACAATAACAATTTTTGGCATTTGAATTAGTTGTTATAACCAGTAAAAAATAATACACAGTTGTAATCTTTTTTTTTTTTACACATTTTGCATAACTATACATAAAAATAAGCGGTCATGACCGAGTATCAAACTGGTGACATTGAGCAACAAACCCACACAACGCCTTATGCAAACAGCACTCCTTCTCTACTTAATTATAGTAAAATCAACTAATAAACTGGTAATGACAACTTTAATAAAGCCATTACTACTACTCATATTGATTATGATTATTTTAGATAGCTAACCGAGACAAATGTTATTTCTATTCGCAGATACAATACAGGCACTAGTATTATTGTTTACAATGAAAATAATACTGCTAGCGTCTGTCCCGTATCAGCGTACATAACTGAAATGTGTCTAGATTGGCTAACTATAATATTTATAATAAACGCTACTATACTGAATGTTACCTGACTTTTGCCATAGTTAGTATATTCTTCTCATAATAATGAGAAAATGATTTGTTTGATAAGGTAAGAACATTACAGATGATATAAAGAAAAACAATTTAAACAGTACATGCCATATCAATAATATATTATTCACACTAAACATTGTTACAGACGCTGTCCTTCACCACACGCACGAACATATACACATATACAGTACATATATACTATATCAATGAGGTAAAGATAATAATTATTATTAAATAATAATATTATAATCAAATGTGCAATGATGGAAGCGTGGTACAATCCGCGTTAGCCACAACCGAGGAAGTATATGCAAACGGGCAATCGCACGTCCGTTCTCACACATGAAGCCACTATTATTTGAAACCCACACTGATAAGTCACAAATATTCAATTTGCACGTCCGCCGTGGCGTCAATCCTCGTACATGATGACAATATTATCTAAAATCCCATAGTGATTAGTTTATAAATATTACACGACACACGATTACCCACGACATATTCTCATATGAATAGGAGTTAAACACATAGATTGGACGGACAAACTAAAACACTCAATTAGTATACTTAGCTAAAATATGACAGTTGTGATATTTAATAATTTACGTTGTATAGTTATGATTATTTTTGTAATTAATAATTAATCTGAAATATATTCAGTGTTTTTATTTTATTATAGAAAACCATCTCCCTAAATCAACCTGATCATCAAGGATCATTAAGAATCCAGGTTATTACAATGTAAATAGATATCACTATTAACGGAAAATACAGTCGAAACCTTTACGTACATTCTAATCAGCTATTATTCCTACGGCCACCCATGACACATATGACTATAACTTTTTAAGTCAACAACGAATGTATGAAATTTATTTAAATTAATCAATAATTCAATGCCTAACTTGTAAACCGTAAAATACTAATTAATTTATATACAAAAACAAATAGAAACAATATGTTACACGGTACTTACTAATACACGGCTATACAATAGGAATGTATCACGAGGATCTGAACTCAGGTAAAACAGGTATAGAATCACACACGAAGTCAAATTTTCGCTATGTTTATGGACATAAAAGTATTGAATATTATTAAAAAAAGTTGGATACCAAAACATTTACATTGCGACGCCATGATAATGATGTCTGTGTGTGTGTGTTTTTGTGTATGTGATAGAGGTGATAACAGTCGGCTGGAGGTGGAATACAGTGGAGGTAAATATTGAAAGCGCGGGCTTTCATACGTTCAATTGTACACACTCCAGCTAAAATATTATTAGCGATTATCCATCGTATTTTAGCTTCGATGCGAAGCTGAGAAAGTATTGTATTTACAATGATGTTTTTATTTTTTAATTTTTTTTGTGTCTGTACCCTGTGATTTTTTTGTTTAGCAACTTTATAGATCATAAATATCGTACATGTAAGGTACACTTTATTGGGCCATAAGTTAAATAAATGTACCCTTTCTTGCCCTTCAAAATCACGAAAAACGCCCAAAAAATTTACGATGCTCTGAATTTTTTTTAAAAATATTCGAATTAGTTTCAAATTAGTAGGGAATATTCTTTAAACATGTCAATAGTACCCATAAACACGAAAAATCCAAAAAATGTATCATAAACCCTTTCCCCAATAAGGTATAGAATCGTTTTCTTTATTACACTTTTTCAAGCAAAGTTTTTGGGATTTAAGTCTGAAAATTAGACCAAATGTAGATAGATCTAGAATGAAACTATAGCAGATACAATTTTCTCAATAATCTGTAGTTAAATACATTTTTATAAAGGAAAATCCAACAAATAGGGGGAAATTACACATAGAATCAATTATTATTCGCCGATTCGCACCGCCGCGTTTATTTATCAGCTGTTATAATAATTCCTGTAGACCTGTGACCTCCCTTTAATTAATTATTTAACTGTTTTAAGTGATTTGAATTTTTTTTATACAAATTGGAAAACATTAAACTTATCTGTATAGGTGCTACAAAAAAAGTATACCCACGGTTAAAATGTCAAAAAAAAAAAAAATTATAAAAAAAGTAAGAAAAAATCAAAGAGTGGGATTTACATATTCTCCTAGAAGGGGTGGGAGATGTTTTTTAATTTAAATTTTATGAGACTAAATATTTGGTACATTTTGAGTGACCCGCTCGAAGGGCCTGTTACATGTACGACGGTTTAAAAATATTATTTATTTGAACCTCTTGCTTTTTATGTAACTTACTTCAACAGAGTGTATAACAAGTTTGTTTTCTTGTTTTATTCGGGAAACTTATTGTTGTTCTAGCACTATTATTTAACACGTCATAAGCCTACTGCTTTAAAGTATCGTGTATTCTGCTATTATCGTAATCAAATTCGGCTGCAGGTAAAAATAACTCACAACTCATAGACCAGATTTACTTTTTGGATTTCCATCCGACAAACATAATTTTTATTTCAAAAGTAAAGAAAAATGTCACGAATTAGTTTTGTCTCGTGAAGCATGAGCAGTAAGCAACAAGCAATATAAAAAAAAAACGATTGTAACAAAACCGATGTATAAGATAATTAGTAAAAATATAAAAATATAAAAAATACATAATATTATTATTATACAAGACAGAAATAAGGCATCTCTCTAGTGTGTAGTCGTTCGTGTTTCTTGAGGATCGTTTTTGAAGAAAACGACTTCGAGCAGACTGTACATTAGTAGAACTTTTCACCAGTGTGTACTCGTGTGTTTGGCGAGGTCTGATTTTTAAACAAACATCACAAATATATAGCTGTTGTCCTTTGTGCGCGAGTTCGTGTTTGGCGAGAGTGGATTTTTCATAAAATGACTTTAATCATACAGCACATCTGTAGCTGGGCTTTTCATCAGTGTGAATGCGTTTTTTGTGTTTAGCGAGTGATGATTTTTGAGAAAAAGATTTTGAACATTCGGCACAACTATAGGTTTCGCCAGTGTGCACTCGTTTGTGTCTAGTGAGGTTTGACTTTTGGGAAAATGATTTTGAACATTCAGTACAACTATAGGGGGTTTCGCCAGTGTGTACTCGTTCGTGATTTATGAGGTGGTCTTTTCGAAAAAATGCTATTGGGCAAACAGTACACTTATAGGGTCTAGTGAGAATGGCTTTTTGCGAAAACGATTTTGAGCACACCGCACATTCGATATGCTTTTTTCCAGCGTGCACGCGTTTATGATTTGTCATGTCCGAGTGTGAAGAAATTACATTTAAACAAACAGCACATTCATTAAGTTTATCTCCAGTGTGCACGCGCTCGTGTCCCTTGAGAGTGGATTTTTCATAAGTGTGCAGGCGTTTATGCTTTGTGAAGTTTAATTTTGAATAAAATGACTTTAAGCAAACAGCACATTGGTATGGTCTTTCACCCAAGTGGATTTGTTTGTGGTGTTTTGTAAGTGTGGATTTTTCAGTAAACGATTTTAAACATGTCAAACACTGGAAGGGCTTCTCTCCAGTGTGCACGCGATTATGTTTTATGAGGTCTGCATTTGAATAACATGACTTTGAACAAACAGTACATTTGTATGGTTTACGTCCCGAGTTGTTATCGTTTGGTGCTATTTGGTTTTTGTATTCTTTTTCTGTCCAAGGTTTAACATGACAACCATTGATTTTGTTATTTACCCTACAACAAAAAAAAAAACCAAAACAGTAAATAATAACGTTTAAACAAATCATATTATTTTCACATTTGTACATAATGACTAAATTTTTTATTTAAAAAAATAAAGATTGATTTACAAAAAATTCCTCTTAATAATCTTGAGTCATCCGGATGAATAGATAGAAATATAGATAACGATACAACTAGAAAATGTAAGAATATAGGGACGAATATTTTTTTTCCAAATTTTTTTTTTAATTGTTCACAAAAGTGAATATTTTTCAGGTTTTTTACTTGCCGCTCTCCATTTCTTTTTTTGGTATTACTTATTAGTTAATTTAAACTTACACTGTTGAATTATAGATAAGTTTTTAAATTTTTTTATCAATTCTTTTTAACGAAAAAACAAGTTATAATTTAATACATTAAATAAAATATTGCCTTACATAATATTTTTATTGATGATCTGATTTTTAGTGCTTTTCTGGGTCGAAGAAGATACACTATGTGATCGAGTTATGTGTTGGACCATTTTCCATTTGGCGTTAAAAGACTTCTTACATATATTACAGAAAAATTGCTGTATTTTTTCCAAATTGTAGTCGGTCGTTTGCAAACCCAAAGGATTATTTTCTTCAACTTCAATCAAGGATTCGTAATAATCTCCATCTACTAAATCGACTTCGACTTTAACCACCGTTGTATTGCACACTTCTCTGTCACTAAAAATGATTTAATAAAAATCTCAAAATTGAAATAGTTAATACCAGCAGCGAGTAATGCATTTTAATGAATGAATCGTTTATAGTGACTATGCAATCTTTTATTACTACTTTATAATTAGGTATTTAGTTACGATATGTAATGAAAAAAACCAAATTACTTGTATATTTTTTGAAAATCGTTCACTTCCGTCACGCAACTGTCATATGAGTTTACAATGTTAGTCGATTTTATTTCTTCTACAAAGGTTTCAGTTAACTCCGCTTCCATATCCTCGTCGTCTTTGTCATTTTTGTTCACTGTCCCGTAGTAATAATTTGTTCTGTCCACATCTTTGATTTTCGATTCAAAATACCTAAAAAATGAAATATATTTAAAAAAATTATAATGACTAAAAAAAAAACATAATAAACTGTAAGTTTATAGTTAATGTTGTTGTCGTTTGTTATAGCCAAAAATGAACTTAATTGCGATGTATTAAAATATTTATAATATTTACAGCAATATGATTTTGTTAGACAAGCAACTCAAGGAGATACGCTTGTAATATTCATAAAGCCTGTATGGTCAGTTATCCCACTAGTCTCTTCGGGCTGTGATGTATTCGTACATATTGTTGCTCTCCGCAATTTTTTCTTTTAATTTTAAATATTTAAAGCCTATATTGAAGTATTTAACACAGAAAAGACTATAATGGTTGAAAATAATAGTACTAAAAATCATGCATTTCTTTGTTCTCAAAATAAGTTAATTTTTATGTTTTTTGAAAAACGCGCATATATTATCACATGTTACCATTTAAAAATATAGTTCTATTTATAAAAATAATATAATAATTATTTTTCTTCCCAAAATGTTGATGATTTTGTCTAAATTACATGTACCTAGTAAATCATTAAGTGAGTATACAGTTAAACCGAACGTAGTTCAAGATTGTTGATGTCTTGGTAAAAAATATGTTATATTAACAGTATGTGTTTTTAATTATTGGTTCTTGAGAAAAGTGTCACGTATAATAGTTTTAAAAAAGGGAAATTAGATTTAAAAAATGCATTTAATCGTGTCCTGCTACTGAAAATAAAATATTATGGGTGACCTCAATATTTTTATTTATTAACGTGTATTTAAATTAATTTATTCTAAAAATTATATTACTTGTCTGCATTCTTGACAATTGTCTTTCTTTGCTCTATCTCCTGTTCTTTTTTTTCTTATAACTTTTAATTATAAAATATAATTAAAAAAAGTATATTAATTAAAAAGAATCAGAAAATCTGTAAAATTAAGTTATAACTGTTGTATAAGGGGTAACACTGTACTATAACCTACAATCGTATTTTGTTCAATATACTTTTACTTTTCCTCTGTAACAGTTAACGCATGGCTGCTTTTAAACGTTTTACTAATGATTAATTAAATATGCTGTAATAATTACTTTTGTTTAATAAACAACATAAATACAACATGGCGCAGTCGAATGCAGGAGGATCAATTGTTCCAGCTCCAGCACCATTGGACATTAATGATGTGGGTACAGTAATTAATAATATTAAGTTATTTAAAAATAAGTTTAACCTGTACCTCAGAGCCAATGAGCTGGATGAAAAAACTGAAAACCTTAAGGTTACAGTATTGTTGAGTGTAATAGGCAATGATGCCTTTGAATTGTTGGAAACGTTGAATGTAACTAACTCAACAGCGACTGTAGACACAATATTTAAAGTACTACAGGAATATTATGAACCTAAATTTAATGTCATAATAGAGCAGTTCAAGTTTTTCCAAAGAAAACAAGAAGAGTTTGAGACATTTGATAAATTTCTTAGAGAAGTCAAAACCATTGCAAAGCGTTGTCATTTTGGAGACCTAGAGGACTCCATGGTAAAAGTTCGTATTGTTCTTGGTGTACGGAATCATGCACTGCAGGAAAGGTTATTAAGAGCACCTGACTTATCCCTGGAAAGAATGATAGAACATTGCAAGTCAGCAGAAACAGCAAAATATCAGCAAACAGTGCTGAATAAAAATGAAGAAGTTGCCGTACATAAAACTGAATTGCAAAGTAAGTCAACTTTTAAAACCAGTGGACAGCAAGACAAGTTAAGACGCAATAAGAACAATAATGGGTCTATGGATATGGATTATGATTGCAAGAAGTGTAGAAGACGACATGGATATAGGAAATGCTTTGCCTTTGGAAAGATGTGTGCTAAGTGTGGAAAATTAAATCATTTTTTGGTGGGATGCCAAGCTAATAAAGACACAGAACAACAACGAAAAGAGGTCAATAACATTGGTGAGGATATGCATAATAACTATGTAAGCTATAATGAACCTAAGTATAAATTGTTTGATATATTGTCTATTGAAGTAGGAAATATTAGTGTAAAACTGAACAAAAAAAAGTGGACTGAAATCATTAAACCTAATAATAATAATCTCATTTATTTTAAATTAGATACGGGTTCAGATATTGATATAATACCATATAGTATTTTTAAAGAAATTAATTGTGGGAAAAAATTGAGTAATACTTATATTATGATTAAGGCCTATGGTGGATTTGATATAAAAAGTATGGAGACAGTTGAACTTTTATGTGAAACTATAGATAAAAAATCTATTAATATCAGGTTCATTATTGTAGATGATAGTCAAAGTAAATGTGTACCTATACTAGGATTAAATACATGTATTAAGTTTGGTTTTATTAATAGGTCTAAGATAGAAAGCGTTGAGTCCAATAATTGTTTGAATGTACTTGTAAATGAATATAAAGATGTGTTTAATGGACTGGGTTGTTTTCCGGGAGAATATAGGATAAGAATTAAGGAAAACAGTGAACCGAGGTTAAATCCTCCTAGGCGTGTCCCAGAATCCATTAAAAGTGAATTAAAAAATACTTTGTCTCAAATGTGTAATATGGGCGTGATAGTTGAAGTGGAAAGGCCTCATGAATGGTCGAGTAATATAGTTATTGTTGAAAAACCAGATAAATCTTTGCGTGTGTGCTTAGATCCCACTGAATTGAATAAAGTAGTAATATGAGATCAATTTTTAATCCCCACTCTTGAAGAGTTACGAATGCATTTATACAATAAGAAATGGTTTACGTTGTTTGATTTGAAGACTGGATTTTGGCAAATCAAATTAGATGAAGAGTCGAGTTACTTGTGCACCTTTAGTACACCATTTGGTTTTTACAGGTTTACAAGATAACCCTTTGGTTTGTCGTGTGCACCTGAGGAATTTCAAAAGAAAAATCAAGAGTGTTTTGGCGACATTAAAAATGTGTACATCTACTTTGATGATTTGCTTATAGCAACAGAGGATGAAAAACTGCATGATGAAGTAGTAATACAAGTATTAGAAAGGGCAAAAAAATTAAATATAAAATTTAATAGTGATAAGATAAAATATAAAAGGCATGAGATTAAGTATGTTGGTATGGTGTTTAACAGTGAGGGAATGAAACCAGATGAGGACAGAATTAAAGCGTTAATGTCTTTAAAACCACCTAAATGTAAACTGGAGTTACAGAGGTTGTTAGGAGCTTTTAACTAACTACGACAGTTTATACCAAACATGTCTACATTAATTACACCTCTAAGAGACTTATTAAAAAAAAATATTAGTTGGTTGTGGAGTGAAGCTCATACTGAAGTATTAGACAAAGTGAAGCAAATAGTTGCAAGTTCTCAAGTATTGGTGAATTTTGTTCCAGAAAAGGAGATAACAATACAATGTGATAGTTCACAAACGGGATTAGGATGTTGTCTGCTACAAGGGAATAGACCGGTTGCCTTTTCATCAAGAAGTTTAAATGAGGCTGAACAAAGATATGCTCAGATTGAAAAGGAGATGTTAAGTATCTTAAATGCTTGTAAGGTATTTCACAATTATGTATATGGCCATAAAACAAAGATATTGACAGATCATTCTCCTTTAGTTTCAATTTTTAAAAACAATTTTAATAAAGTGATTTCAGTGCGGTTACAGAAAATGAAAATGAAACTTATAATTTATGATCTATGTGTAGAATACTTGCCTGGCAAGTTAATGTTTATTGAAGATTTACTGTCTAGAAATTATATATGTGATAAGGATGATGGAGAGCAAGAATTGGAGGGAGTGCTACATGCAATTGAATATAAGAATACTAATATTAGGGAAATAGCAAAGGAGACTGAAAATGATGTTGAGTTGAGTGAGGTGATAAAAGTTTATACAAGTGGCTGGCCTAAGGAAAAAAAACGATTGCCAGATAACATTAGACAATATTGGAACTTAAAAGATAGTATTAGTGTTGAACAGGGGGTAGTCTATTTTGAGGATAGGATAATAATACCGAGTAAATTGAAACCTGTTGCATTAAGGCTAGTTCATGAGGGACACAATGGAGTACTTAAAACATTGTTAAGAGCAAAACAGTTGATGTTTTGGTTTGCCATGGATAATGAAATAAGATTATTTGTAGATAGTTGTAGGATATGTTCAAAATTTAGGAATTCTAATGTTAAAGAATCATTAATCTACCATGAGCTGCCAAAGTTGCCTTTTGAAATAATAAGTTGTGATATATTGACGTTTGCTGGCTCTGATTTCTTGGTGATAGTAGATCATTATTCTAAGTGGTTAGAAATAGTTAAAATTACACAAAAAACTGCAGTTGAAATGATAAAACAGTTTAGAGTAGTAATGAGTGTTCACGGCTGTCCAAGATTAATTTTTTCTGATAACATGCCATTTGGATCAATTGAGTTTCGCCAGTTTTGTATAGCATATAATATAGAGCTGAGAACCTCAAGCCCTAATTACCGGCGATCAAATGGTATGGCAGAGCGAGCAGTGCAAACGGCAAAACAGATGTTAAGAAAAGCTCAGAGTGACCGAAAGGATTTAAGTGACTTGTTAGTTGAATATTGTTGCACTACGATACCACATATAGGGGCAGCACCTTGTGAGCTCTTAATGAGTAGATTAATTCGTACTAAATTTCCCATTCTGGAGTCTAAATTGCAGCCAAAAGTTCGGACTGGAGTAAATGAAAGACAAAAAGAGTATAAGGAAAAGTACAAAAGCTATTATGACAAAACAGCTAGGGAAAGAAAAGAGTTTAAAAAAGGTGATGAGGTAATGATTTGGAATAAATCAATATGGACACCGGGTACTGTTATGAGTAAAGACGCTATTAATCCTAGCTCGTACATGGTTCAAGGGGATGGTAGAGTGGTACGAAGAACTTCAACACACCTGAGACATGCGAAATGAGTAGGTGCTTATCAAGATGTTGATAATGATGATATTTTATTGGATATGTATGCAGAGGGTAAAGATCCGAATGAAGAGATCCTAATTTATGAGGGGACACCACAAGAAATTGCTGGTGGATATAATGGTGAAGTATTAGATAATAAACAAAATATTAGTGGTAGTAGTTATAGTGATGATGAAATAATTATCCCTGAATGGTTCCAAATTTTTGGTAATAAAGATAGGTTTACTAAAAGTGGGAGACAAATAAAAATTCCTCAAAGACTGTTATTGTAATTATGATTATTATTATTATCATTGTTGTTATTATGTTATTATTATTTTTATGTCATTATGTGAAATGTAAAATTTATTATTTGGTTATGTATGTATTGTTTGTTTATATTACTATATTAGCTCTTAAATTAAAAAAAAAAAAAAAAAATTGTTTAAAAAAAGGGGGGGTGTTGTATAAGGGGTAACACTGTACTATAACCTACAATCTTATTTTGTTCAATATACTTTTACTTTTCCTCTGTAACAGTTAACACATGGCTGCTTTTAAACTTTTTACTAATTATTAGTTAAATATGTTGTAATAATTACTTTTGTTTAATAAACAACATAAATACAACAATAATAAAAACTAAAAAAAAAACATAATAAAAAAGTGAGTTTATAGTTGATGTTGTTCTCTTTGGGTGTAATTAAAGTAATAACATTTCTAAAAATTATATTGGTTAAATTTTATACTTGGATATGTTTTAAATATTGGTTAGTGAGAATAGTGTTATAGTTTTAAAATAAGGAAATATACATCAAATAAATGTATAAGTAACCTCAATACTTGTATTTAAAATATATTATTATAAAAATTATATTACTTGTATCCATTCGCGTCGATTATGTTTTGTTCCTCTTTCCCTTGTTCATTTTCTTCTTCCACTTCAAAAACAGGCTTAAAACAATAATTGTCCGTTTCTCCTATTTCTATTTTAATTTCTCCTGCTTCACTAAGTCTAAAAAATAAATTACATTTTCTAAAATAATAGCCTTAGATTGTAGTAGTGTCAAGTTCTAAAAAAATGGGACCCGAACGGGCAATACAGTTTAAAAAAAACTATTTATTCGGTCTGACTAAAAAATTAATATTTTGTAAGTCAGACCAACTAAGTTTGGAACAAAATTAGGTTATTAAAGCTCGGACCATGCTAGCCCTCAATAAGCATTTTTTATAAAAACACAAACCAGTTTTTCATTGCATTTTTAACCCGACCGAAAAAAATTTAATATAAGCCAGATTGTACCGGATTTATGTATTAGTTATTGAAACCCAAACTAGGCTGAGACAGTGATATTAAAATTCTAAACGATTTAAGACAAATTAAAGACAGTTGTTTGACAGAATGTACAAACAAAAGTAAACTATGTGAATACAAACCAGACTGTCTTCAGCTTTTGTTTTAAAATTTAACCAATCACGCTAAATAGTGCGCAATAGAATGCCTGTCCTAATTTTAATTAAGTTACATTTTTTTTCGTACAAAATGTATTTAAAGTATTTAACTTTAAAAATCACATAACTTATATGCATACCCGTCAATTGTTTTTTGATAATCGGTATAGTTTGTCTGAGAACTGTTGCGTGTATCTTCAATGTGATTCAGCTCTGGTTCATTCATTAGGGCTTCGTTAAAATACTGTTTAACGTCCTCGTCTTCCTCTATTTTGATCATGGTCTCGTTGTAATCATCCATTTTAGTAGTGATTTTTGGTATTTTTGATTCTCACTAGTTCAACTCTAAAAAACAGAGAGTATATTAAAAATTAAGACGAGAAGTAACGTTTTTCTTTATTAAAAATGATTATAGCCTGAGTCTAAATAAATTGAAATAAAATATGAGTGCAGGCAAACTATTAAGAAAAATATAGCCAAATAAAGTCCTAGAGGTTTTTCAAGAAAATTAAAACATTGATTCAATGATCGTAATTTTAGTCGGTTGAGTAAGATCTTACTAACAAAAAATAATCCACTCTTAAAAAATGTAATACAACACAATATGAATTTTCTTTCTCCATAAAATATAAATTAGTTACCACTTTCTCTAAATACATTAAAAAATATTATTTCTTTTATGGCATATTATAGCAAATAATTAGAAAAAATGTATAATTTTTAGTATAAAAAATAATGAATTCTTAATAATAGTAACAAATTAAAAATAATGATATTAACAACTTCAACCAAACAATTGTTTCTATTTAAGATTATAAGTATTTTAGATAGCCAACCGACAGACAAATTTTAGTTTTGTACACTGATACGTTTATGGGCATTAGTAGTATCGTTTATATTGAAAATATTAAATAATACTAACAGTCCATCCCGTATTGTAGTACAGAACTAAAATTTGTCTCGGCTTGCTACCATTTAGTATGTTTGTAAGATGACATTATAACGGTTTGAAATTAAAACTCATTCAAGTCATGTAAACATTTTTAAAACATTAAACCGTTTTCAAAATTAAAACACTTACTCTATGTAGGTAGTTAAAAAAAACAATTTAAACAGTAAATACCATAATAATAATATATTATTCACACTAAATGTAAATAGATAATCCACTGTTAACGGAAAAACAGTCGAAACCTTTACGTAAATTACGGCCACCGATGGCACATATGACTAACAGTTACTGTCTAAGTCAACACCGAATGATTAAAAACATTACAACTGTTTAAAAATTCATTACCCAACCCGTCAACTAGAGAATCTAATTAATTTTTATAAACTAATAAATAGAACCATATTGTTCCTCGGTACTTACTATCACACAGCAATGCGATGTGATTGTTTGTCAAGGCTCTTATCTAAAAACGTCAAATGACAGGTATAAAACTACTCATTGAATCTTATTTTTTATTATAACATGTTTATAAACAAACAACAGACCGTTTCAAACAAATCATTAACTCTGAGTAAGTCAGAGACAGTAAATACATTATTATGTTACAGACGCTACCGCACACTTGATAATGACGTTATATTTTATAATTCTGTATTATAGAACTCAAAAAAAACCAAGAAACCACAGTCCTCTCCTATACGTAACTACTTATCAATTATCGTATCTACGACCACTGACGGCACAACTCACTCGACGAGTCAAATTACACGACAAACGAATGTATGAAAAACATTGAAATTGTTTAAAATGCATTACCCACCCGATAAACTAAATAATCTAATTAATTGTTATAAATCAATAAGTAAAACCATAATGTTACTCGGTACTTACTAATACACAGCAATGCGATGAGATTATTGGTGAAGGCTCTTATCCCTAAAAACGTCCAACGACAGGTATAAAACCACGCACTGAATCTTTTTTTTTATTATAATATTATGTTCACAAACGTACAACTATTTTAGACCGTTTCAAACAAATTATTAACTTTCAGTAAGTCGGAGACAGCAAAATATACATTATCATGATACGGACGCTACCGCACACTTGATAATGATGTGTGTATGTGTGTTTGCGTCACATAATACAGGACTGGGAACGGACGGGGGTCGGCGGAGTGCGGGGCGTGGCCCGATTGTACAACGCTTCCCGGGTCAATCGCGCCTCGTGCGCCATCTATCGCCGAATAATTTAAATAAAAAGTTTTCAATAGTTCAATAAATAAACTCACGGTGTAGAGAAGATAAGGTGACGCCACACCACGGTTGTCTACTCGGGTTGGCGCACGCGCAATGTGTCTAATAGAATTTCGCGGTAACGAGCGGTGTTGACTGGAACTAATAGCGCTAGTGGTCACTGGCCATAATATTACCTATATAGAGCAATGGGCACATTATAATTCTTTTTTATTATCACGCTAAAATGGTTGAATTTACGACAAAAATAATAGAGAACAAATTTGTAGATTAATAATTTTTACATACGATAAGTGCATTTTCTGAAATATTTTATCGAAAATTGAACTAAAATAAATAGTCAATTGAACGATATCCATTACGTTTTAAACAAAACCACTCTATTTATAACTCTTTTAACTAATGTAATTTTAGTCAGCGTCAGTGGTCGATGTTTATTATTTAAAACAGTAGGCTCTGTTGTAGTTTCCTTAAATTTTGGCATAGCGATTGATTTGATGAATACAATATAAATAACCTAGTTAAATTTAAAAAATAATTTTTACACCTGATAGCATAAAAAAAATAATCAATATTATTGGTAAAAAAATAAACATTAAACCATAAAAATATTATTGGTTGCATTATACTGTTGATGTGTTTCTCGCTTAGCTCAGAATCTAAAAATAAAAAACAACACAGACACCTTTATTATTAGATTGATATTTTTCTTAGGGTTTTTTACTTATTATTATACGTTACTGTCGTTTTTATTGCTAAACAAAAAGATATTACATGCACAATTCAATTTTAATACAGGACAATTGATTGTATATTATTTTAAAAACCACAATATTCGTATGTGTTGTCTAATTAAATGTATTATATTTTATTCTAATTCCTATTCCACAAAAGACGTTTTTGATCGACCGATGACTATCCTTTTGTAACAATACGTACTGTAACGTGTCTGCGTGGCTAGTTGGCTAGGCTAGGCTGAAACGACAGTCGATAGGGTTAAATTAGTGGACCCGAAGACGGGACGGATGGCTAGGCCGTATCTACACTTAAATATCCCTAAAGTCTCCTTTGTATATTTGCTATATCGCCTGAGGAGCTTAACAGGCGATCGTACCTCTAAATAACTTAACTCTCAAGTGTGCAACGAAACGAAAACAGGTTTATTAAATAAGTAAAGCTATGTACATATATATTACACCTCTACCTGGATCCTAAAGCGTTCTCTGTAGTTAGTCCAGGTAATGGCGGAGTTGAACGGACACACGAGTACGGGTAAAGTTAAAAGAAATATAAAATAGTAATGTAACGTGAAATATAGGTAATGGCTTTAGAATAATTAGGTCGCGGTCCGAAGATGGTAGTATGTCAACTAACTGGGCATCGGTGCCCCTGGCATTGTCCCGTGTGTCTGTTGTCTCCCCTACCTATAATGGCTTACATGCTAATCGGGGTAAACTGCTAATAATGCATATTTGGAGGCGAGTGGTAACGGGCGGCTAAATGTGACCGTTACAGCTGCTCCTCCCCTAATGAGGTCTGACCTCAGACCTAAGTTATACAAATAAAAATAGGTACTAAGAAAAATAAATAAGATATGTACAAATACCCTGAAAATAAAGGTTCCTATAGGTTGGTTTAAATTAATTATGATTTAAAGGAGGGCCACCTGTACTCTTATTTTGACCTTTGGTTTATTTCGACGATCATCCATCCCTTATCTTGTCGTTTTTATTGAAAACTTGAAAGGCCATCGCTCGACGAAAACATCCAACCTAGCTTCTCGCCTTTCTTGAAAAGACTTGTAGGTCAACCCTCTATAAAATGAATAGTGGTGTTCTCAAGGTCTTAATAAGCTACTAGTGGTTGTCATATTCTATTCCACATAAAAAGGTAATATGGGAAAAGCATGGGCTACATTGTATTGTTATTGTTTAAAATATTAAGTTGGCTAAGCTACGCATACAAGAAAACTCAAAACAACTATAAAAGAAAAATTCATTGTCTGTTTATCTCACAATATATATGTGTAATTACGTTAATCCTAATGATAATGATGAAAAACGTTGCTAAAAATCATTTATCATATACATTCATTATCTTAAGTTAAGTTGATACCTCTGCGTGCTTAAAAAAAACTACTTCATTTAAATTATACAAAATAAAATAATAATAATCGTAAAATAAAATAAATTTCATTAAGTGTTTATAAAAGAAACAGAAAAGAAGACTAACAGAGAAACGCTTAGTAGTCGAAAAAATATCGGACCCAGGGTAATTTACGCGACGATAAAAAAAACAATAATACCCTTGACCTTAAAAAAAAAAAAAATTGAAGTCGCTTATCTTGCGCGTTAAGTTTAGTCAGTAGGTCAAGTTATATTTATTTTTTTTAAAAATATTTATGCATAATAAATGAAAATGTCTTGTGTTAGTAAATTTGTCGTGAAAACGACAGTTTTAATTACAATAGTTTTGAATTATTTGTTGATCTGTGTACCATTTGGGTGCCTGCAACTCATTTAGTTATTAAAACATGTGCCGTAAAACAATAAAATATATGTATACATTTAAATAAGGTATGTTTATGAAATATCAAATTGCATTATTTATTATTCTTAATATAAATGTTATTTTTAAAAGTATATCCTTTAGATTTTATTATTATAAAATGAGTAATCATTATTTATATAAGATCTATCACAAAAAAAAATTTCAATATTGCTTCATACGTTAATATTATATTAAATAAATATTCGCTAAAATTACCACGATGGATAATTATTATTTATTTTCTTTTTATATAATAGAATATAACACCAACCTACTTAAAACGGGGTACAGATAATTTGCTGAATATCATATTCATTTCAATTCAACGCGAGATAAATAAAGTAAAATTATGTAGTAAATAAGTTTAAAAATGTTGCACTAAAATGTCATTATAAACGCTATATAGTAAAAACACAAATTTCATATTATACAAATCAATCAAACATGAAAAAACTTCCGTTATCAAATGATAAATATATCCACAATATAATACAATAAAATGCACTCTATTTAAATGGCCCAAGGAAAAAAAATTGATTTCCAAATCAAACCATTTCAAAGGCGAATGGCAAAAGTTCGGTGGCAAATTTTGTGTGTCAAAATCATTTTTTACCTGAGGATTTAGTGTAAATTAATATTATTAGGAAAGACTTATTCAAGCAAATCCGAAGCTGCGTTTATCAATTTAAAATCCAGGGGCAATTAATAAATAAATATTTTCATAAATTAATAACTACAATAGAAAACTCTTTTTTAAAACATTGTGCGGAGACTAGAGGTGTCTTTCAAGACACATTTGATGATGTGTTGAACAATAACGCCAGTGTACTTACATGTCCATTCGTAAATATTATACCTATTACTACGAGTACAAGGATGAAACAGTTGACAAACATACAAAATAAAAACCTAAACAAAATTAATTCGAAGAAGGAAAAATTAGCAAAATTAGTTACTTTAAATATAATGTATAATAGAGAATATTGTATTATTGTATTAAACTTGTTTTGTTTAGTATTTTTGTGTGCAATTACTGACTGATCTATAGATGGCGTTAAGAGCACCTTTGTACTAGCAAGCGTTGTAATTTGGTTCCATTGATATGAGTGTCGTTTCCAGTCCTGTATTATAGTCCGTGGTTTGCGTGAATATGTGATAACAGTGGCAACCGCGATGGCCGGCTGGAGGTAGAATACAGTAAAGATGAATATTGAAAAGCGCGGGCTTATCGACATATTCGATTATATCAACGCTCCAACGAAAGTATTGTTGAAATAATAATTAATAAACATTGGACTCTACCTACCGGTAGAGCTTCTACAAAAGAAGTGTACCCACGGTTAAAATGTTTTCAAAAAATAATCATGAACTAAGTTAGAAAATATCATAGAGTAAGATTTACCTATTCGTCTGGAAGGAGTGGAAGTTTTATTTTATTACACATTATTTACACACAATATTTCAAAAAATCAGTGGTAAATAAAAAACACGCTTAAATAGTAAAATAAACTAAAGAGTAGAAAATAATTTTCAATATAGAAATCAATTAATAAAAAATAAATAGTATTATTGTGAAAAATGCGTGGGGTGCTACATATATCAGTTCTTGAAAAGCGCCCCACACTTTTTTCACAATAATACTATTTATTTTTTATTAATTGATTTCTATATTGGAAATTATTTTCTACTTTTTAGTTTATTTTACTATTTAAGCGTGTTTTTTTAGTTTTTTTTAACTATATTTATTTTCCACTTTTTAGTTCGATGTGCTTCAAAATCGTGTTTTTTGATTCTAGTACATACGTGTCTCTATTACTTGAAAACTTCAGGTAAACAACAATGAATACACGCATGTACGTTCGGTTGCCTATCTCTTTTAGTTACATAGTTACATACAAACAAACATACAAACATACATACAAGTGAAGCTAATATAAGCGTGTTAAAATTGTATTAAATAAGTATAATATTTTCACAACAGTAACGTAAGACACCATACCCAGTGGTGTAAAAACTATAGGCGTAGACGTTAGGCCTTTGCAACGGGGGCCTATGCAGTCAGCAACCATATAGTTTAAATTTTAAATATTAAAAAAATATACAGTTTATATTTTATACTAATTATTATACAGTATTCATTGTTTCTTCTTCTTGAAGTTCTTATCCGTTTCGGACGTTGGAAACCGTATTCATTGTTTAATGACTATGAATTATTATAAATTCATCAATAGGTATCTTTATTCATTTTTGGAAAGTGACAAAATATCTACCAG